TATATATATATTGGAAAGTTATACGCGATGCCATGTGTGTAAAAATTTCTGTGACCGTATACCTACGCCTTACAAGCGACGTATAACGTGTCCTATTTCTGATCTCTTAAACACAATCTTCCCCTTAATACGACCGAACTGGTTTGGCTTATTGAGGCCCTTATGGTATGCTTGTTGCCATATCAAGCAAGCGGACGTTAACGGTATCTTCTGGGGTCAAAATGTATCCGGATGACCATTTTGTGTGTATGGTAGAGGTCCTCGTCTGGTCTGATTTGATCTGCGCAGTTTTTAGCGCAAGACACTTGTGGATACATGAATGTGAAGAAGTACCGATGTATCTCAGATACTCTCATTCAGCTGTCGTTAGTGCAGCGTTGCTGGTTCTACTTGGAATGTGCCAGGAAACTTCTATTATCAAATATCACGGCAATTGCGTTGGTAGTTTGACAATGTTTGAAATAGACAGTCAGCCGACATTCGTAGACCAGACAGTTGAGAAGTTGGTTATGTACGATCAAACGCCAATCTGTATATCTCTCAGGTTGCTGCTTCTGAGTTGTGCTGATGGAATTATTCAAAGCTCTACGCCTTGCTGAGACATATGAGAAACTTCGTAATTGATGGTCAGTTTGGTCTTCTTTCGGCTAGTAAGATTGCGGTACGGATGTTACTCACTCTTGTTTATTACACAAGCAGGGGAGGTATTTGTAAAAATTTCAAGTGGGGATAGTTAGCTGCTAAGTCTAGTCAAGTTTTTTTCCATAAAACCGCACTTCGATGTATGTCATTCTCGCAGTAGTTTGGGAAAAAGAGTGGCAACCCAACCCAAGCACTTGGAGTGCGTAACCACCTAGGAACTCCATAGGCTAGGCAATGTACGTCTCTGGACGACAACGTGAGGTGTTCTTACACTAACTGGTTTAACAGCTTGGCTCTCACCTGTCCCAAAGTGGAACCAAAGGCAATCTCATTCTGTGCACTGTAAAAAATACTCGAGCAGCACAATCGGGATTCAAAAAGATGATGTGATAAGTTAATCAATGGCATCCTGACTTTGACAGATGTAAGAACAGCGTAAATGGGGCTTCTGACGTCTCGGCAGAGATCGAGTGTTCTGGACCTCTAAAATAAACTGCGTTTAGCGGTCCTGGAGGTATTTCTCGGAGCACTGGACGTTTTGTTGCATAGATCCGTAATCATACGTGAAGCACTCATGTAGCTGTATGCTTGCACGTCTCATGCTAACATTGGTATTGTTTGGATCAATCCTTACGAACCGCGCACACGCCATCTCCCGAATTCCTGCCTTGACACGTGTCGGCAGTCACGACTGCAGCTAGCTGAACGTGTTTTCCCAGACCGTCCAGATTATATTTTCTTTTGACGTATCTGTTCTTTCTATCCAACTGGATCGCTTATTGCGCCACTTATCTCCAGTCAATGTGAATTCAGGGCGAAGGTATGACAAGAAGAAAGCTGAATTAGGCTCTGCTGCAAAATTAGTGTTTTTTCATGAACTGGCCACAGTTTGTTTAAAAATCACCTGGTTGCACCTATTGCACTCTTACCAACACAGCACAGCACTGCTTCGGGGACAGGTTAGGTACGCACTGAGCTGGCGAAAAGTCTGTTGCTTGTGGTTTTTTTGTGATACCCCAAGAAAACCTGCAATACAATAGAAAAAACATAGTGACCGTTTTCGCTCGGTCTCGCTATGTGCCTGTTTCGACTGTCGTAGAATGAAGTTCATCAGTTCTGACAGCTCAGGGAACTTCAATTGCCCTTCGATATCTGAATTGTTACGACACTAAAATGAACGTATAGCCGTTAGGCTTATATTGCGATGCGAAAAATGTAGGGACGTTTACCGGCTCCACGGCATCCGTATCTTAAAATGACCGTTTCCAACCGGTTCTGTCTGCGGTCTTTGTAGGCTTCTGAGGTTGACTGTTTTTTGGCATGTCACCTATCTTCACGACAGAATGAGCCCATGTCCGTGATTCACTGGGGCTCGATTGAGGGTGTAGTGGGAGTCGATGACTTAGTTAATCGATTATTGATCCGTTGAGTAGAATGAGAAGACTTCGCCTAAGGATAGGCTTTATTCAACATATAAGCACAGTATAGGCTGAAATGACAAGTGAAAGTGAATTAATGGAAATAGCAGTAAAGCGTAACTTTCACTACAGAGGGTAAGATGAGCTGCTCCCTATAAATGTCCAGGACTGAGCGACCTAGCCTTGTCTCCACCCTTGTTCCTCATACAAGCTCCATAATAGCGATTGTCTAAAACGGTTTCTAGTTTTCTGTAGCCGCTGAAAGACCTAAATTCTTTCCACATGAAGTGCCATTTTGGAAGCAAATGCGGGTATGGATCTATGCGACTCTGTTGGTCAGAAAAACCGGAAAGACAGTCTAGACAAAAGTGTATGACCATGCTCAGTTTCGACCTTACGTTGACTGCGGACTAACCAGAATATTCCTTAATTCATGTTTGATTTAAATACATTTGAACACAACTCAGAAATAAAAGAGATCGAGCTTCTTTCTGCAGGATACCTGTCCCTTTTGGATGTAGCTCAAATTTTTCGCTGCAACAGCCTGCGATAACACAGTCTCGAATATTAATGCTGGTTGTCAAAGTACATCCGGTAGCACCAAGCTTAAGCTTGCGTACACAACACAACACAAAGCATAAATTTGCTACTCGGTTAGGCTGTGACGAGCTACCCAAGATCCGGTTTCAAAGCGCTTGCACCTATCTGAATCGTACACTGCCAACCTTCGAGCCCTCGTACCTCATGGCGGCCAAGCTGTCAGTGTATCAGTGTACCGGTACGTATTACCCACTGAATTCAGACCCCTAAAAAAGATGAACTCGACAACCACACAAAATGTGAAGTTCGTGCAGACAATGATTGATCCCGACGTTGACCGAAATAGTCCCTGTTCATTTCAGAATGGCATCAACAGATCAAGTTATATTTGGATGGATGTGATTCCTACCCAAAAACGGCCAGTTAGCATCCAAAATGGGAGCGACAATTTAATCAAGATCATTTTTTCGGTTTCCCTTCAATTGCCCGCCTCCTGGAACTTTATGGATACCATGACGCATGGACGCACTTATTGATGGTCAAGTGCAGCCAATCTTATAGTCACATAGCAATGTGAAAACCCAACAGGTTGAGAAATGGGCGTGGCAATGCCATAAAAGTTGTTGTTAACATTAGAAAGAAATGGATCGAGTGATATTGGAAGGGTAACTGTAACAGGAGAGCCTAGACAACTATCGCTCATGTTGTCTAACCCAAGATGAACCGATTTAGGTTTTGCTTCTTAGCTGACTCTTCATCTTTCTAGAAACATTTCTGAGACGATCATTACCACGTAGCAGTCGGTTGCAACCATTTTTCCCAAATCTTCTGATCCACTTTCTTGAAATTTTCTTGAAAGTCCACTTCCAGGTCCTCACTAATGAGGTCTTTCGCTCTCCCGACTGATTACATTTCACTGCACTGCCGAAATTAATTATCGTTTGTGGTGAGGAGATCACACAGCATGGTTGACTTTTGACCTCGGTCTGAAAAGTTTTCATTTGGCTACTCTGGAGCCTGTCTTATTTAAGCAAATCAGAAATTACTGCGTGGCATAAGGTAGTGAACAGAGAGAAACTAGGACCCGGCAGTCAACGTTCGGGCAGTTTGTTTCGGATATTGGGACCTGGATGATTGTTTTACAAGCTTCAGATCAACAATGATTCACATGCGATAGTAGTGGGGCTTCGGAGCCTGTAGAATGGCG